GGAGAAAATAAATTTAAGAATTTTCAGTTTCATGTGAGAGTTTGGCCAGAGTTCCCAACACTAAGAGTGCCCTGTGAGTACTTTTTGAGGGGAGGGTGGAAAGTTGACACCCAGAATTAAAATGAGGCTAATTACAGAGCCCACTGTGATTGAATATATGCAGTTATGTTTTAAGTTTTTATTTTTTTCATGGCCTTACTTTACCTGTTGTTATTTTGTTCAGATAACTTGAGTGGCTGTTTGCACATAAGGAGCAGCAAATATATGTTTAGCCTGTGTGTAATTCCTTTGTTATATGAATAAAGTATTAACAGAAGCAAAAGTTTTCCTTCCTGAAAAATGCTGTTTTGTAAGAACCCTGATGTTTTGCTTCACACGTACTCACAGAGACAGAACCAGTGAGTGTAATGAAAGAAACCAAATAAACTTGTTTCTGTGACCATCTAATCAAGACTTAAATAGATCTTTGGATTGTAGCCAGAATACCCCAAACACATTCTCATTTAATATTAAAACTCATATTAATATTTCACAAGCCAACTTACCTTACTTTGGGGGTTTTAAGTGTGCCTTTTAAAATTTTTGTTTGTTTGTTTGTTTGTTTGTTTTGAGACAAGGTTTCTCTGTGTAGTCCTGGCTGTCCTGGAACTCACTTGTAGACTAGGCTGGCCTCTAACTCAGAGAGCCACCTGCCTCTGCCTACCAAGTGCTGGAATTAAAGGTGTGCAGCACTATGTCCTGCTAGGTATGCCATTTTTGAGATGTGTCTTGCTGACATTGTTCAGGTTATCATTAAATCCCTAAGCTCAAGCAATCCTTTTGCCTTAGCATCCAGACTAGCTAGGTCTATGTATCTGTGTTACTGCTACCATTTCCGGTATACATCTGAATACGTGCATTTTCCCTATTTCCTTACAGGTAGAAAAATACAGGGAGTAGTAAGTGGTGGAGTTCCTCTACTACTATCATTTTAGAGCCTTAAAACAGAAATAATAATGCTTGTCCTCAGCTTATACTGTTCTATATATATATATATATATATATACATATATACATATATACAGAACATATATATATTGTATATATATTGTATTGTATATACAATATATATATTGTATATATATATATATATACAATCCATCACTTATTTATTAACATTAAATGTATATTACACATCTGATAAAATTTAGTACAGTAGGAAGAATTGTAAGTGAAAAAATGAATCATTTCTATATATACATTCAGAAAGTTTCTTGCGATCTTAAACAGTTGTTTGTTGAGCCTTTACCTTTCCAGGCAGGGTACCCTATGCTTTATGTCGATTTGTCTTTTGGCAAAATTACCATGTAATTTCATGGCAAACATTGTTAGCAGGTGAAAGGGGGTGTTTGTAGAATCGGGAGGCCTCAGGTAGCTCATGCTGGTTTCCTATTCATGATGTGGCTGAGGATGACCTTATTAACAAGCACGCTGGCCTGGGTCAGAGCTCTGGAACCAAACATGGTAGAAGAAGAAAAGCAACTCCCAGAAGATGTCCTGACTTGCACATGCACACTTTAGCACATACATCCATACATGAGTGAGCAGACACACATGCTTGCGTACCCCACGCAGACACAAAGACACACACTACCACCACCACCACCCTAGAAATACAATGAGCAAATGTAATGAAAAAGAAGAAAAGCTGTGCAGTGGCATCTACCATCAACAAACCAGCGAGAGGGCAAACAGAAGAGTAAAACCATTGCCCTACAGAAAAATCCAAGTGAGGAGAAGTTAATCTAACAAGGAGAAAAGAGAAATGAGCAAACTCAGGAACCATTTTGAATGACCCAGGGAAACACAACTGGAATTCAGGTATTAACAGTGAGAGTGGGAGGTCAGGAAAGGCAAGGACAGGTGATTTTTGGAGGGAGACACAATGTCATTGAAATTGTCCAATGACTGATCTCTGAGCAGGAAGAACACTCAGTGATAACTAGCCACTGGTGAGAGCACTCAGACATACCTGTGTTTGAGATGCTTGAGTGACTTCAGGGAAGGTACTTAAGCATCATCTCAGGTACCACATAAGTGAAAGGAAAGGAGGAACAGCATCAAGCGCATGGTCTTTTCTGAGAACTCTTTTTTTGTGTGAATTATTTAACACATAGTCTGGAAAATGGCAAACATTCAATTAATCTAGCTATTATTAGTGATAACAAAAAATAAGATGTGATCATATTTGGATGGAGAAACAGGAGTAAATGGTAGTTATCCACCCCATTTAAGAATTATTGCTGTTGGGGTCTGCCCATGACCCCAAGCCCTCTAATCATGCTGCAAATACCAGCTTGCTGAGCCTTGAACACAAGGATGCTGTCATCCGTTTCTTGCCACTTAACGTAGTGGCTGGCTCCAAAGCAGTGATGCTGCATAGTCACTGGGGTTGTAGGAGAGTATGAAATGGCCAAATTAAGAATGAGGAGCCTGGCCATGGCAACACCTGTCTTTATTTACAGTGCTGTAAGAGAAGTTGCTGCCGGAAATGCTGGCTAGTCAGTCTCTACTCTCTGGGAATGAGGGCGAGTTAGTGTTGCAAGGTGTAGGAGGACAAGGAGACCGGAAGAGGAAGCAGAATGTGCCGAGATCATTGCTTCAGACAGCACAGCTTCAAGAACCTGTGGACAGAATGCAGGTAGCAGAATTAAAATGTAGATTGCGTAAGGAAGAAAAGAGACACTGGTTTGGGCATGCATGGCTTTCTCTCTCGATGCCTGGAAGAGGGGCAGAGTTAAAAGGTAAGTTAGAGGGCTAGGATCGCTCCTGCAGCTTGTTCTTGAGAGCTGAGGGGACGAGTTATAAGGTGGGTTAGTGGGGTCCTACAGCCAGGCCTACCCTGGCCAGCCTGATCCCTACTTCCTGCAGAGAGAGGAAGGGCTGAGTAGTCCTGACGAAGCTTCTGCCACTTTCCTTCTTTGTAGTGTTCCAAGCTTGTCAGCCAGACAGAGTGATGTGTGCAGGCCTGCTGCAGAGTTCCCGGCAGAGTGGGGAACTCTGTTGCAGCATTCACAGGAATGGAGGCTCTTCCACTGCAGCTCTTCCCGAAGCACATGGACATTTCTTAGGCTTAAGCAGATTTGATAGTTTATGATAAATGGATTTCGTAAGTGTGCCTGAGTTGGCAAAGGATCACATTGGTTCTGTTTTGTTGTGAATAAATAGTGTGTCAAAGCTTTATGCTATTTCAAAAACATTATTTAAAACAAAACTTCCTTTGAAGCTACGATAGTTTCTTATTCCAAATGTTTATTTAGACCGTATTGTATAAGTATTCGTAATTCCCTTAAGGAGGAATTGTAGTCTGTTCAAGTCTGAGTTTAAAACAGATAGGCCTTCTGGAATTTATAGAAATACAAAATGGCTATTCCCATGCTTACGTGTTTATATACAAAAGAGTTGAGGTGTTCCAGTGTTTTATGTTTGGGTATAAAAAGAGAATCTGTGAAAAAACAAAACAAAAAAAAAATCAACCGAAAAGGTTTAACTCCCAAATGAACCAGATGAATAAAGTTATTTGAAAAATTCTGAATGAATGAATGAATTAATGAGTTAGCCATAAGTAAGATGTGTGTGTACCTGTATGTAGCTAACCTACTTTTACTTTGTGTTTGTCTTGATTATTGATAAAATTGATGTTTTGCTCTAAATGGTATAAAGTAAAAACTGATGACAAAATCATATCAAATTAATGACTTAAAATGAGAATGTTGTCGAAGGAGAAAGTCTTTCAGCCTGCATGACCTGGTCCATTGAGTCCTATCTGCTGTAGTGGACTTGGCCCAAACATATTAACAGTATCTAGAACACTGTCTTATACAAGGGAGGTAGTTTATATGAAAACCCAAATGCTTTCGGGAGCTTCTGGAGTATGTACATGTAGCTGGCAGGTACCCATCTACCCTTGCAGGTAACTGCCCCTGCTTGCAGGACCCCCACCCCATGCCAGTCACCTTTGCTCATATCTAAATCTCTAAGGAGATGTGTGCCAGCTGTTCAGATAGTCATGTAGATTGTTAATAGGTGAGTTATCACGTAAAATCCCTTCCGTGTCTAAAATTTTCAAGAAACTAAAAGTCATACATACAAGGTAAATTTATTAACTGGTATGTAGGGCCACAGTTTAGCAGCTTTAGCGCAATTCCTCGGCATGGATTTCACTCTTAGAAGGTTAAACTCCATTTACGGAGCTTTCTAAGAATTCACTTTATAATATGAACTGGCAAGGTAAACTCTGAAGTGCTTGTGCACAGCTGAAAGACATTCCACGTGTGTTTCAGTGTTCTAGAATAGAATTATTCTTCCAAGTGTAGAATCTTCATGTAAACATTTTTTTTTCTGTTTTATATCTGATCTCAAAATAAAGTTTCAACTTATTTTCTTGTTGCCATTAAATTTAAAAGATTGCTTTTATTCTAAAATAGGGATGAAGCTAGAATTAATAAATCAAAGAACAAGACAAGAGATCGGGAAATTATAGTTATAACCATTTAAATAAAAGCCAGCAAAATGGATTTTTTAAAATAATGTTCATCATATTTCACTTTTACAAATACTTCTCTTCAATGATGCTTGGCTGGCATCTTTCTAGAAAATGATCTTTTTGTCTTCATTGTGAAGTAGTTAAGTAAGTAAACATTCACAGCTGCAGCAGAGTCATTCTCTTTTGGAGACCCCGTGTTACAAATCCAGTATCCTATGGAAAGCATAATTCCTTCCCCACATTCACCTTGTCCCACCTTTGTATTTAAAGGCTGAAAACAGTGTGTTTGTGAGCGTGCTTTGTTTTCTCAACCCTTGGTTGTAAAATATTTTGATATAAAATTTATTTTCAAAAGTCTTCAGACCTTTACCAACACACAGCCTTTAAAAGTAGAGGTGGGCACTGCTTAGCAGCCACAGTGAGGAACGAAATGTTTTCGGACAGATGCTGATGTCTTCTCCTCCTCTGTTTTCAGGCCATCCGCTGCACACTGGTAAACTGCACTTGTGAGTGCTTCCAGCCGGGGAAGATTAACCTGCGGACTTGTGATCAGTGTAAACACGGCTGGGTGGCACATGGTGAGGAAAATCTAGGCTCCTATTTCCCTTCGTGTTGTGTTCTCTTTGTGTCTCTCTCCCCCCTCTCTCCCTCTCTTCTTCCTTCCCTCACACACTCTCTCTCTCCTGTGTGTTTGGGGGTGGGGGGGGGGTGAGGGTTATTAAAAGCAGTAGTTGACCTGGTGAAGAAAGCAGTCAGCCGTGCTCCAAGTGTTAGTTAACATTCATCCTGCAGCTTTCAAGCAGCACATTCTCTCCAGGAAGGAAGGCTAGGCAGGCAGCTCTCGGCAGAAGGGCGAGCTGTTTATAGAATAGTTGGGCAGTGGGGTTCATACTGAGCACAGCGGCAGCCAGCAAGTACCAGGCCTGATGGAAACGCAAACATACCACAGTTGGCCTCTCAGGGCCTGGACCTCAGAGGGAATCTGGCAACCCTTCCTTGCTCGAGAACTCCTCAGTGACTACACGCCCTTGTCGTGTGTGCTGAGTTTACCCTTCCAGATGTTGAACTCTGTAGAGTTGAAGGAGGGGAGTGAGCAAGTAGCTGGTATCTGAGAAAAAAAAAAAAAGTGATCCGTAAATACCCCCTTTCAGTGTGCACTGGGATTAGAGGAACCCACGGTGTGCAGGGCTACAGCGTGTTGGTGTCACTAGAGTGAGGGTGGCCCGGGCGGAGGTCCTGAGTGTGCACATTGTTTGCCAGGTACAGAGTGCCGCTCCAGCAGTGTGGCTTGACTGCATATTTGACACATTGCTGTGTGCGGTTTATGTTTATTGTGTTTAAGCAGAGGAGACATGGAAAGAAGCAGACGCTCTCTCCACCTCCTAGACTGTGATTTTGAAAGATAGGTGATATTTGTAGAAGGTGCCCTGGCTGCAGTTTTTTGACAGCCTCGGGTATTGGCTCTTAAGTGGACATACTCTTCATTCCCGAGCAGTGCCAAGCATCCAGTGGGCTGTGTTTTTTATAAATGTCATGTTATTCTAGCGAGATCTGAGGTAACACCAGCAGGCCATGTCTTGAAATGCTGTTAGTTTATCATGTACCTCGCTTGCTTGGGCATGCGTGTTGGAGGGACCTCTCAGCTACGTTTCCGTGAGAGAGACAGTAGCATGAAGGAAATACACTGGAAGGATTGTGCTTGGGTAACACCACCACATTCCGGTAATCAGTCCTTCCAGGATAAAACTTTCCCTGGCTTCGTAAACAAGGCCAAGATGTTTAAGACAGCCAGACAGACAGATGCACTGCTGCTGAGGGCTGGGGGAACTGGGGGCAGTGTTCTCAGTGACCTCTGTTTTTCCTGTACGACTTTCTTAGGGCCTTCACGCCAGAACAGTGCAGGCAGTGTGGGCACAGACTGTTCCACAGGGACTGGGTGTCTTAAACAACAGAGGTTTATGTTCTTAAAGCTCTGGAAAGTGGATCGGAGAGGTGAAGTCGTTAGCAAAGTTAGTTTTATTCTGAGGGTTTTGGGTCTTTAGCCAGCTCCCCTAACACGGTCTTTGCCTCAGAGTGTACCGTGATGTCTTCTGACAATTCTGCACCTCCTCTTCTTACAAGGCCACCAGGCAGAATTCACTTTGAGGGTCACCCTGCGGCTCTCATCTTGACTTAACGGCATCGTTTAGGGTCACATATCCAAACACAGCTGCATTCTCAGACACCAAGATGTGGTTTCAGTCTGTGAGTTCTGGGGGAAGACAGTTCAGCTCTTGACACTTTTCAGACATGCTCTTTTATCTCCTAGAAAAAAGTGTGTAAGTGTGTGTGTGTGTGTGTGTGTGTGTGTGTGTGTGTGTGTGTGTGTG